GCATGCTTATTTTTCTAATTGCACTGTCTCACTACAAAGTCTCCGTTCTGTGGCATTAACCCTTAAAATTTTGTGAAAAGTCTCCTCCCATCAACACCCACATAGTTCTTTTTTAGTCAGTAGTCTTACATCTTAAAGTTCAGGCCTCCAGATTAGTCAGGGTGGAAAAAAAAACCACTATGATAACATTCTCAGTGGCGCTGTCTCAAAATGAACTGACTCACAAGCTGAAAACATATCAGTATTAATTACAATTGCCTTTTATGAAGAAGTAGCACAGTCTGTATGTGCTGAGTCTATTTAATTCATGATTAAGTTCATATAATGATTATCTTTTTTGATTTTACAAATACGGCAAGAAGTACAGTACTGTGCAAAATTCAGAGACCACTCTTTATTTATTTACGTTCCATCAAAAATGACCCTCAGGCTCAATTTATTCACTTTTCAGTGTCCAACTGAATATAACATCTTCAGGAGACTCGCTTTCAGTTCTTTAAAGAAATCTGCAAGGATATTTTTCCACACCTCCAAAGTTCAGTCTTAGAAGTTGGTTGCACTTTCTGCTTCTCATGGTCCAAGTAATCCCAGACACATTCAGTGATGTTGAGGTCTGGACTCTGGAGTGGTCAGTCCATTGTTCTGAGACCACCACCAGCTTCTTTGTTTGATGTGTCTGTCTCCTTTTCTCAGTAAGGGCTTCTTGACAGCTACACATCCTTTCAGACCCACAGCACTGAGTTGTCTTCTCACAGTGGAAAGATGGACAGAAACACCTGTGGATGTTTTCAGATGTGAAGCAGTTTGATTTTCTCCTCTCTCTCAAAGATGAAAGCTCTAAGTGCTGTTTATCTCATGGGGACAGTGTTGGTCTCTACCAGGTCATGCAGGTGGTTGTCAGGAGTCCCATTTTCTCTGTAGCTTTTAATCACTTTTTGATCTCCAGTTTTTTCACTGAGTGTGTTTACATGCACTTAATAATCTGATAACTGCAGAAAACGTCTGTCAGTAATCCGATCAACACGTTTATATGCACTTGAGTAATCAGACAATGGAAAGATTCTGGGTCTACATGAGTCAGACAGTAATCAGATTTCTGCTTTGCTACCAGCCAATAAACTCACAGAAGAAGGTGTAACGTAAACGTAATGTAAACACAAACTCAGGACTGCAGCTTTAAAAAAACAAAAAACATAGCACCACTTTATCTGAAACTGTGAACGTACATCATCTAGAAAATAAAGAATATTTAAATCCTTCATTTCGTTAAGAATGTAGTTTGGTTTCAGTGTCACTTCAAAAAAGTTTTGCTGCCATCTTCTGGCAACACTGTTTACTCATTTCTGGTACGGTTGTCTGTTTTAACATATGCACAGGCTGGGAAATCCGAAAGAAATCAGAGTAAGAGTTCACATGCACTGAGAAATCTGATTACAATGCTAAAATCCAGCTCTTTTTATTGGATTTCTTAATCAGATTTCTAGATCAGAGTATGCTGTTTACATGACCGTTTGAATAATCAGATAACTGCAGAAATCCGATTATGATTGGATTATTGAGTGCATGTAAACGCACTCACTGATTCTTCTTTGTTTCATCCTTTCTTATGCAAGTGGACTATCTTATATCTATTGTTCTCAGAAACATCTCCTAAAAGATTAATAACTTGTATTTTAATGCTCTTTCTGACTGAATGAATAAATGACCTCTAGTGTGGTCTCTAACTGTTGCACAGCATTGTATATTGTGAAAAAGTCTTTGTTCTGTTCTAGGCTTGAACAGATTAATGAGAAGACAGAAGAGATGACATTTTCACTTCGTGTAGTGACGAATATTTATTCCAGGAAGTGCTAAATGAGGCAATTATTGTTCAGAAGTGCATATCCTCGGGATTTCGGTTATGAAAACATCCTCACACTGCTAGGCTGCACAAACACCGACTTGAAGAAAGTCTAATTACTGAAATGTCAGCACCACATTTAGAAAAAAAGTTGTGTCATTTTTTTTCAAGTCGCCTATTACAGCGTAGATCTGGCTCAGATGCAGTGGACACAAGGTCACGGTGTTAGAACTGACTGGACAATTGGGCCAGCTGGTCAGAAAAATAGCCAGCACTTGCAGACTACTGTTCTTATTTATCCAGGAGCCTGGATAGCATAGTGTAACACAGCAGCAGTGGATAAGCTTTACAGGAAAACAGCAAAGATCTCATTCAGCATATATATATATATATATATGCTGAATGAGATCTTCGAAAAATCGAGAGAAGAATACTCATAGAACAACATCTATCAGCTTTGGATCATTTTTGATTATGACATTATGTGACAGAGGCTTAAAAATAACATTATGATTTGTGCTTTATATGTAAATTAAACTGAAATAAATAATATGAACTTTCATTGTTGAACTCTGAAAGAAAAGGTCTGTTAGCAGCTCTGTTAGCATCCGAAAGTATTATTCAAAACTGCTTCACATTCCTGAATAGTTTTTTTTTTTTTACAAAACATCTAAAGAGACGATACCAGAGAATTATCAGTGTAGTTTCTGTATCAGTGTAGATGAACGCCATAATCTGCTTGGGTAGGAAAATTACAGGCTACACAATGTAGCTTTAAGCTTGACCTGCTAAACAGACTGTTTATGTTGTTATTTAATGTTGTTATGTTGTTGTTCTTCAGTTACAGTGTGTGTATGTGTTTATTGTGTTATTTTGTGCCCAGCTCAGAGTTAGTTAGAGTGCATATGTGTTTGGAAACCATCAGAAGAAAGAGTAGGGCTAGGGCTCATCTGACTCTGATTCTTCTGCACAATGTCAAATGATGACATTGTGATCCACCCATCTGTAGCTTCACATCATATATCAGCCACTCTCAGATCACTCTGCCCAAGGGATCACTGTGTATATATACTGGTCTTTTTTATCAGAAACCCCTCCCTTTAAGCTCCACCTGGAGTTTGTTAATGGACATTTATTGATGCACAGTTTTTGTTAGCCATCCTCAAACCCTTCAACAGTGACGTTCATTCAATATATATCAATGTTTATTTGATATATGTTAATGTTCATTCCATACAAATCAAGTTCATTGTATATATATCAAGGATAATTTCATATATATTAATGTCCATGAAATATTATAGTGGTATATAGAATGTGGTTTGACATTGTCTTACTGTAACAAACAAGGCCTTTCCTGAAAAAGACGTCATCTGGATGGCAGCATATGTTGCCAAAACCGGTGTATATTGTTCAGCATTAATGGTGCTTCACAGATGTGCACGTCACCTATGTCATGTGCGCTAATGCTTCTCCATACCATTATGGATGCTGGCTTTTTAACTGTGTGCTGATGACAAGCTGGGTGGTCTTTAGGTGAGAGGATGCAATGTCCATGATTTCCAAACAAGAATTTTCAGTTTTGATTTGTCGGACCACAGGACACTTCTCCACTTTGCCTCAGTCCATCTTAAATGATCTTGGGCCCAGAGGAGGTGGTGTCATTCCTGAAACCTGTTCATATATTATTTCTTCTTTGCATGGTAGAGTTTTAACTTGCATTTGTGGATGCAACTACAAACTGTGTTCACAGACAGTGTTTTTCAGAAGTGTTCCTGATTGCATTCAGTGATTTCCACTACAGAACCGTCTGGTTTTAATGGGACCTTAGGACCCAAAAATCATGGCAGGCCAATACTGGTTTTCAGCCTTATCCCTTACAGAGATTTCTCCAGATTCTCTGAAACTTTTAATGATATTATGTACTGTAAATGATGAAATTCCCAAGTTCTTCGCTATTTTACACTGAGAAACATTATTCTTGAATTGTTGCAGTATTTGTCCACTCAGTCTTTCACAGAGTGGTGAACCCCTCCTCATCTTTACTTCTGAAAGACTCTTTTTTATACCCAGTCGTGTTACTAACCTGTTGCCAATTAACCACCAGGTGTTTTTTAAGCATTGCACAACTTTACCAGTGCTTTGTTGCCCCATCCCAAATTTGAGAAATATGTTGCTGGCAGAAAATTCAAAATTGGAAAATATGTTTGACAAAGCAATAAACATTTGATATGTTGTCTTTATACTACTTTCAATTAAATATGGGGTTTAAATAATTTGCACATCATTGCATTATATATATATATATATATATATATATATATATATATATATATATATATATACATATATATATATATATATATATACATAAACATATATATATATATATATAAATATATATATATACATATAAAAGTATATATATATATATATATATATATGTGTGTGTGTGTGTATTTATATATATATATGTGTGTGTGTGTGTGTGTGTGTGTACAATGTGCCATGGCAATGTGCATTCAAGCAGAACACCTTCATCTTGATGTTATAAAGGATGAGTGACATCACAACATTCCATACTCAAAATTTTGAAGAAACAAACAGCGAAGCAGCTCACGACTAATTTGTGTTAATTATAAAGTTTAGTGGAAGAAATTTAGGACAGCAGAAGATGATGGAGCAGAACTCTGCAGCCACAGGTTCCATACATTCCTGTTTGAGTTTATTTATTTATTCATTTATTTATTCTTTGTGTCTGTGTTTGTCTCTTTGTTTGTTTATCGATTTTTTTCATGTTTTTTTGTTACTTTCTCTTTGTCACCAGCACAATATGAGCACATTTAGATATCACTGCATTCCTTAATAACAATATAGAATATAATGCAACTTATCAGCATAGAACTATTATTACTATTACTATTTGTCAGAAACAAACCTTGTATCTCCAAAACGGTAACTTTACAGATAAGGAAAAAACATACTTTTAATGTAAGTCAGTGGAACCAGACTTTTTTCCAAGTAATGTTGGGCCATTTCGTTTGGTCCATTCATCATGAAATATATAACAACAGGTACTTTCTGATTATGTCAAAAACTGAAAAAAAGGTTTTGTTCCGACAGCAGCGTTATGTTCTTTGAAATAACATTAAATATTCAAATGATCATTCTGTACTCAGAGGCCCCACGAGGAAAGAGGAAGAGAGCAGAGGAGGGATGCAGCCAGAGTGTCGAAGAGGGAACAAGCAAGGTTCCCAACACTGAGGCCCCAGCAAGAAAGAAGAGGAAGGTCGCAGCGACCCGGCCCAAAAGAACAACTCGAGGAGAGAAGAACGCCACCGAGCCAGGTCAGTCTATTCACCCCCATACTGTAAAATTAGACGTCATTCTTGAAGACATATGATTGGTTAAAAAGAGCTAATGCGCAGCGGAAAGTGTTGATGGTGGAAAAAAGAAGAAAGTGATGGATCTAAAAAACAAAGAAAAAGCTCTAAAAAACAAAGAAAAAGATAAAAGAAAACTGTTAAACCGAGAAAATGGAGGAAACTCCATTTCTTTTTTACAAAATAGTCGACATTCAGAAAGTAACAAAGTGTTGTACAGTAAGTATTACCGTAGATGTTTCGTTGTCCTACAACTGAATAACTCTGATCTGGTCACTCTAGTGGTGGGTCCATTGGTAGTTTCAGTCATGGGTCAGGTTGTAGGTAAAGTCACAGGTCCACAATATTAAATATTCAATAATCATCCTGTGTTTAGAAGCTCCTCGAGAAAAGAGGAAGAGAGTTGAGGAAGGAGACCGCAAGAGTTTCAGAGAGGGAACAAGCAAGTTTCCCCACACTGAAGCTCCAGCAGGGAAAGCCACCGAGCCAGGTCAGTCCAGTTTCCAGACCCCTGCATCACATGACCGATTAATTTGACTTCATTCTAAGAGAACTGTAATTATCTAAATGAAGTTCACACAGAGTAGATTCCACTGCATCCTTCATAATCAGAATGATTGGTTAATCCCTGATCACTGATCTAAAGAGGGCTGATGTTTGTAATTTTGTTTTCCATAGACACCTTTAAATCCCACTACGTGGTTGGAGACAAACTTGGTCAAGGAGGCTTTGGATCTGTCTTCAAAGGAAGACGCGTTTCTGATGGCCTACAGGTTCGGCTCACACCTCAGATTTCATTCTATTGGTCATGATTTCCCCTTCTCTCTTTTCTCTGCTAGTCTCTAAATATTTTACTATTTTAATATCTTAATATTTTTTGTCTTTTTTTTTGTCTATTTTTTTGTCAGGTGGCCATCAAGTTTGTCTCAAAACGGAAAACAGGCCGATATCTCTACAGCGTAAGTGCACCTACTTAACACATAACACATGATGGTCCCAAACCAACCCAATGAGTTCCCCCTCACATTCTTCACTCCTGACCATCTGACTCTCTACTGTCCTGCAGCCTGTTGAGTCCAAGGCCGTGCCTGCAGAAGTGGCTCTGATGCAGATAATGAGCCAGCCACCCGTCTGCAAGAACATAGTACAGCTGATCGAGTGGTTCGATGAGCCTCAGAGATACATCCTGATCCTGGAGCGCCCTGACCCTTGCATGGACTTGGAGAGTTTCCTGAAAAAACAGGGAAACTGCATGGATGAAGATGTGGCCCGAGCCATAATGGTCCAAGCAGTGGAGGCAGCGAGCCAGTGCAGTAAGCGAGGTGTCCTGCATCGGGACCTCAAAGGGGACAACTTTCTGATCAACACAGACACCTTAGTGGTCAAACTTATTGACTTTGGTTGTGGTGACCTGATCAAGAAAACGCCGTATGACAGATATGCAGGTAAATCTTTAACACACTTCTTCAAGCAAAAGTTGAGCTTCACTTCTAAAGAAATGATCCTGAGAGGAGAACTGTGTCCTGTAGCCACTTAGCTGTTAAATGAATTACTGTGCTCATCTGTGCTCTTCCTCTTTTTTGTGTTCTCAGGCACGTTTCGATACTGCCCTCCTGAGTTTTTTGTGCAGGGGAGCTATGACGCTGATCCTGCAACAGTGTGGTCACTTGGTGTCCTGCTGTTCAGGATGGTTTATGGAAATCTTCCCTTTGCTAGCAAATTTGAGACCATGGTGGGGATTTTCGTCTTCAAGGACGGCCTGTCGAAGGGTAAGATAAACGGGAACGTCTGAGTAAAAGACGCATCCTTTTAACCTGGTAACTCAATACAGAGGAAGGACAATTGATCACATAATCATTAGTTAGAAGTAGAAGAGTTTGCAGTAGAGGCCAAATGCTCCCCTTACATCCCTTTTACTGGTAGTCCTTCTGAAATTTTGTGGTTAAGTGTCTCACTTACATGAAATCCCGTCACTCTGCACAGAATGCCGTAATCTGATTGCCTGGTGCCTGGAGTGGCTCCCCTCAAAGAGGCCTAGTTTGCAGCAGATCAAGCAGCATGAGTGGTTCGAGTGCACCATTCAGGACTAGGATCAGATTAGCCAGGGAGGCTAGGACAAGAAGCAGTAAGCCTAAAACATCTAGTGCCAGTTGAGGAGATACTGTGGTGTACATACATGCCATGAGTAAACTGGAAATCAAGACTGAGATAAATAATCTTAAGATTTCAAAGCTTTAGAGTCTAATGCATATCTTTGGTTTTTGTTTCAGGTTATGAAGGGCTGTTAAGGAGAGCTCATAACAACAAAAAACACCTTTCCATGTCAACACAGACTACTGGATAAAGAACAGTGACGAATGATGAAGGACAACGACAATGTGAAAAGAACAAAGGTAGTGGAAGAAAGTCAACAGCCATGGAAGAAGGACAACGGATAAAGGACAGTGACAGTTAAAAAAGGACAACAACAGTGGACAAAGAACAATGACAGTGGATAAAGGACAGTGACAGTGGATAAAGGACAATGACAGTGAAAAAGGACAACAACAGTGGATAAAGGACAATGACAGTGGATAAAGGACCGTGACAGTGAATAAAGGACAACGACAGAGAATAAAGGAGAGTGACAATAAAAAAAGGACAGCAACACTGGATAAAGGACAATGACAGTTAAAAAAAGGACACCAACAGTGGATGAAGGACAATGATAGTTAAAAAATGGACAACAACAGAGGATAAAGGACAATGACAATGAAAAAGGACAAGAACAGTGGACAAAGAACAATGACAGTGGATGAAGGACAGTGACAGTGGATAAAGGACAATGACAGTGAAAAATGGACAACAACAGTGGATAAAGGACCATGACAGTGAATAAAGGACAACAACAGAGAATAAAGGACAGTGACAATTAAAATAGGACAGCAACGCTGGATAAAGGACAATGACAGTGAAAAAAGGACAACAACAGTGGATAACAGACATTGACAGTGGATAAAGGACAACGACAGTGAAGAGCGGACAAAGAGAGGAAAAACACACAATATCAGTGAATTTGAAATTTGATGTCAAGAAATAAAACACTGCTTGATTTCATTTCTTCTGGCCTGATGTGTATTAAAGGCTCCATATCCTTTTTTTCATATATTTTTTAATGAGGTCCAGTGATGACTTTCACGTGCAATGTACCAAAAAATAGTCTTAATCCATTTCTACACAACCACTTTATCCCTCAGCAACAGGCTGTTGTTCTTATTGTACCTTTAAAACTGAACGTATGTAAAAATTAGCGTACATTTTTAGTTCAAATCATCAGCAGTGTTTTGCATTTATTTATCATTATTTAATTGTTCCATCTCCAAATTCACAATGTACTGTGATAGCAGGGTGTGAACTGGATGAGATGCTGCTGCTGCTCTAATCCACTGCTGCCTCAGTGGTGCTACCAGAGATTTACTAACATAACAACAGGAGATGGCAATCCTCTGCTGTTTAGCATATATAAGGCTAGCTCAGCCAATCATATCAGACCTCGTAAGTTGTAAGCCATTCATATCAGACTTCGTAGGTTGTAAGGCAATCATATCGGACCTGGGGGCGGGCCTTGGCTGCTACTCACTCTGCAAAGGAACTGCTGGAATTGTTTCAGGACTTTAGCTAAAATAAAGATTAGGCCTAAAGTAAAGTTAGCTAGCTAACTTTAAGTTCATGTGAGGTAAAGAACAGGGGATGGGCCATAAAGCAAGAATGTTACCTAGCTGCCAACTATTTTAAAAATTTTAAGAAATTTCACAGTGGGTGAGTGTTGTTTAAGCTGAATGTCATTCCCTCAATAAATCCTCATTTCGTAGGCTAAATAAAAATGCATGCCTAGACATTTAAGTGCAACTGCAACTACACTCTTAAAAAAGATGTTTTTTCCTGGTTCCTGTTTTTTTCTTCCCGGAGTTCTATATGGAATGAGTTCATGCTTAAACAGTTCTTTGCATGGTGTAGTGGTTCTTCAGATTGATGGACAGTGTGTTGTATATGGTTCTATAAAAAGGGTTTTTCTGTCAAGCTTCTAACAATAGAAGAACGCTTTTTGGTGCTACACAGAAACATTTTCAAAAAGCTCCAAGCTAACACACTAACCCGCAAGCTATAACGGTAGCTAACTACTCTGAACATTTAAAGGGAATAAGTTAACACTAGCCACAATGAATTAGCAATTAAGGGTAATATAACTAAACCTTTAGCTGATTCCCAGTTAATTAACCTAACTAGCATGTGCTTTTCAAGTGTTATGCCATAATGCTGTTGTTAACTATAGTTATAACTTTAATTTTCTATATTGAAACCATAACATTTTAAATATCCAACCAGACTTAACCAAACTTACACATCACAAATAATGTTAATGTATGTAAATGTGCTGTTTTAAGTATATAGAGCACTGAAGTCATGTCATCATTTTGTAGTCTAAGACATGCTCTTATGCCCATATTAGGAACTCTGGGTCTAAGCTGGATTTCTCTATGGCCAGAATGAATAGGGTTTTTGAAAAATCGCCTGTATTGCACATTGTGGTCGATATAAATGTTTAGAACTCAATACGTTTTGTCCTGTTAACATTCTTCTCTCGAATATCACTAAATCCTCTGAATTATGAGGTCATTAAAGGGTCGAAATATGAATACTGCTACATGTAAGCTAATGATACTGTACACTGAATTGACGTCATTAGACTGGCAGCTTCCTTAAGCATGCTTTGCCAGTGTGACAGTGTATTTCAGTACAGACTGAGGCCAGATGAAAAGAAGTCAGAACAAAAGAAGCAGGTTTCCCTGCAGTTATGTGTTCTTCATCTGATGCTCACTGAAACATGACAGATCTTTCCATTCTGTACATATCTTGATTTAGAAAAGCTCTACAAACTTACCTGCACTCAGTAATTCAGTACAGACTCAGCTTAATGTCACTGCTGACCCCCTGATAAGCTGATTTAGGCTTAAATGCTGCTGCAGTTCAGTGCATTCTGAACTGCAGCAGCATTTAAGGTGGAACGGGGAAATTCGAACAAACAGCTGGTGAAAAACAAGCTGACCTCAGAGAGTCGAAAGGCATATAAGGTGGTTTCTCTATTTCTGCTTCACAGCTGTGTAAAATTAACTTAGTTTTGCAGTTTCAGTCAGTATTGTTTGGTCCCGTTTGCTAATGTTTGTGATAGCTAGCTAGCTAATCACAAGTCCTGCAGCATTTAAGGTGGAATGGGAAAAAGTCGAACAAGAAGCTGGCGAAAAAGAAGCCTTGTAGTTTTAACACTGGTAGTATTTTTGATGAGGAGTTTTAGACCCTTAGAAATGTCCCACCTAGAGGTTTTATTTACGGGCAGACCTATAAATGCGCTACAGTAGAACATTTAATAAGGTAGCACAGCTCGTCAGATCACAGCCCGCCTTAGTTTCATGTAGCTTAGTGACGTCAAACTGATTCGCAGCAGTTTTAGCTTCCATGTAGCAATATTAGTGTTAAGGCTCTTTAACGACCTCGTAATTCAGAGGATCCAGTGATATTCAGGACACAGGACAAAACGCATCGGGCTCTGAACATTTTTATTTACCACAGGGTGTGATAGAGGCGATTTGTCGAAAACCCCGTTCATTCTGGCTATAGAGAAATCGATAGTCCTGCGTCATGCTATAGTCCGTGTTATGCCCACATTAAATCTGGGTCTAAGCTCGATTTCTCTATGGCTAGAATGAAAAAAGTCAGCTTCTTTTTCACCAGATGCTTATTCTAATGTTCCTGTTCCACCTTAAATGTTGCTGAAGTTCAGAATGTGACTGCTTCACCATTTAAGGTGGAACGGGAATTTTGTGCCGAATATCCTGAGAAAATGTCTTCAGAAAATGTTACCAGCAATAAAATAATAATTAGCATATTCTGATAGCCTAAATCAGCTTATCAGAGTCTGTTCTGAATCAGCCTGAGTGCAGGTAAGTTTGTGGAGCTGCCCGGCCGCCCTTGCAGTCCCCTGCCCGGCCAAAGAACTTAGATTTGTTGTTTTTCTCTGTGTGTCTAGACGGTGTTCTACCCCAGGTTTTGTTTCTGTACCAGTTTCTGTCACTGTGCCTGTTAATGTTCATGTTTTTGTGCCTGTTTCTAGTTTTGTGTCTGTCCCGTTCCTGTCTCTATCCCTGTTCTGGTCCCAGTTACCTTCATTGGGGGTTCTGTCACGATTTCCTCTGTCCCTGTCTTTATCTGTTTCTTTCTTTTTAGCCATGTGCTAGTGTTTTTTTTGGTTCCTGTGCTCCGCCCTTTTCCCTGCCTTCCCTGTTAGGATACTCACCTGTCTGTAGTCTCTGTCTCCTCCCTCTCCCAGGTGTTCCCCTTTCGTTCTAGCCTTTATCAAGCCCTTTGTTTCAGTCAGTGCAGTGTTGTCTGGTCTACTGGTCACTTCGTTAGATATATATATATATATATATATATATGCATATGTATATGTATTTGCTGTTGTCAGAAGAAAAACCTTGTATCTCCAAAATTATAACTTTACAGGAGAAGGAAAAACATACTTTACTTTTAGTGTAAGTCAATGGAGAACCAGAAATTTTACCAAGTAATTTTGGGTCGTTTCTTTTGGTCCATTAATCTTGAAATTTACACACCATGTAAAAGTCAACTGGCACTTTAAGATTATGCAATGATTTACATAAATATATATGTATATATAGATATGAGAACTTTACAGGAAAAGAAAAAAACCTACTTTACTTTTAATGTAAGTCAATGGAACCAGAATTTATATATACGCACACACACACACACACACTTGTTGTTGGCATCCGTCTGTCTCGGGAGACAATGGAGATTGCGCCATGGGTATCAGTCTGTGGTTGAACTACAGCGCCGGCTGTGACTGTAGAGCCCGATCCTGGAGCGACAGATCCTGTTGCAGGTGCTGCAAGTGAAGTCGGTTACTGGTACTGCAGGTGCCGATTCTGCTTTCACACGTCTGCGTGCCCTTTTCTCCTCCCACTGCTCTTCTCTCCCCTGCTCTGACATCTTAACAGCTGACTTGACGACAAGTTTCCAGGCGCTGCGTTCT